CTTCAAGAAAGAAAGAGAATTGTTTGTTACTATATAGGTGACTTGTTTTGTTTATAAAATATATCAATTTCATTTCAACAAATTAAAAATTCCTTAATAGCAAAATGTTTTTGAAGATCACTATATGAATGTATGAATTCATCAAATCAGTGGTGCGTCATATCAGCTGATGTGGCAACATTCCATGTGTTGAGTTCACAGTGGTACAAATCTTATACGAATTGTACATCTACAGTGTGATATAGTGTAGTGATTCAGACTGTAGCTGTGGCTTCCTGATTAAACTTGTTTTTTGTTGTTGCAAACTTATCTTTGCGTTCAAACAGAGTTTAAACAGAATCTTATAAAGTGCTTCTGCATGAACACTACCGATTGCCTTATAGTGATTAGGGACAATCCCACGTCTGTTTCAATTATTAGTGTCACACAGCATTAGGAGAATGTAGGAACTACTCAACTGAAGACATCACATAATAAGTTCTTTATAAGCTATTTCCCTGATCATGTGCAGTTATAGTAATAATGTTTAAAAACAAAGAGGTGTGTTTACTTATACTGTACCATCATTTTTATCTTCATCTTGTTTTTTTTTAAAATCTATATCTGATTTATTTTAATATGAAGGAACTAAACGTATCTTGCTCATTAAATTACCCCATATATTTTTTGAAATTCAATACAAAACCACCAAGCTTCTAAAACGTGACTCTGAAATCTCTTCCTCCCCGAAGGCAAACTCCGATATAGTACTATTATTGCGAAAAAAGTGAATGACAGTGCTTATAATGGCATATTAAATGTTGTTTTGAAATGAAAGCTTAGCAGCAAAATCTTTGTATGTCGTGTAACTGCATCTGAGAATGGTCAAAAGAGGCAATCGTGAACTGAATTATTTATGCGTAAACGTGTTTATTTATGTGCTACATCTTGCCAATGCTTGATCGCTATCGGCAATGAGATGTGAGGTAAGATTATGTTATTGTCGATTGTGACTAGACTCCTCACAGACTTCTTACTGAACGTTCTGCATCTCACTGCTGTCTCTCGGTTCGTAACACAATGTTTTCACTTTGTACATTTTTGTTTCCATCGTTTTAAAGTTTTTTTGTATCATAGCAAGCTGTGCCAAAAAAAGCCTGCAATCACTTTTGACATTGTTCATCCTGATATTATGTAGTTGAAACTGGTTTTATAATATTGAAGATTTTTCTTCATGTTGATCTTCGTGATTTAATTAGTAGATTCAAGTCGTTATATGCTGCAGAGATTCTGAATTGCATATTTTCCCGATGAGCTCACTTGTAAACCATTGTCGTCACTCCTATGATTAACTCCATCAAAGGAGAATGTTTGCACTAAATTTTGTGGGTTTTTTGGTGGGAATTTCAGTTTTGAATTCAGCAGTAGCTACTTCACATTTTACACTTCCTTTGATATAATGTAATAGAGAAGGAACTAAGGAACATAATTTTCACATTATAATGTACTGTTGTATGTATGTATGGTTTTGCATGACAGCGTAGAGTAGCGCAAGTGTATCGCTTATTTCTGCATTACCATAAGCTAATCCCATGACTATTCGACCTTGGTTTTGATAATTTCAAATGCATCTATTTTTCATGAGATGGATATTACAGCTGGGAAAAAATATGATTTTCATAAAAAAAAAATCCGGAAAACATGCCTTTTTAGCTAGCAAGTTATTTTAGCTAATTTAATCTGTATTTTCACTATTTGAAGATAAAGCTGTTGGCACTTGAGTTCAATTAAGATTCTGTTAATTTAAGGCCTTAATTTGAGCTAAATTTGCTTTTTAAGGCATGTAGCTACACGTATTTCAAAGTGTTTTACACTATGTGATGATTTTTACCATCTTCATCTGCATGTATTATTTCCCTTTTTCTTTTATCAAAAGTAAAAAAAATATTAAATCATTATTTTTTTTCATTTCAGTTGTGGCATTGTAAATTAATAATGGCAAATATATCATCATTACCGCTTGGAAGACAGTGGACGACTACATTATCTGATTTGCAGCTTGCTGAGAAAGCACCGATTGCTTCAGACAACCGAGAGACATACATCTTTGAATTGGACGGACAGCTCAGGTATCTCTTGGGATAAGTGTTTACATAATTGCAAGATGCATTGTTTGCATTTGTTCCGCCTGTCACTAAAAATGATGCTAAATTTCTTTCTTGTAAATTGTATTTTTTTTACTACAAATGAAATTCACATCGTCAGACTTGTACTGCTATTTATAGATATTTTCAATCACTGACATTGTCTGTTGTTTACAAAAATTGATCACCCCCCCCCCCCCAAACTATAACTAATTTATTGCGAAATAAATTTTTTTTTAATAAAAGTGCCCTGGTCAGTCATTACATAATGTGTATGGATCTACATCAAACCAGGTTTAAACTATTGTAAGGGATTGATGTAGCTGCAAGTTCTGATTCTGAAATATATCTTTCATATTATTTTCAAAAGATTAAGCAAACAATATATTGGATCTTTTTTTACAGTTGCAACTCTGATGGTGATCCACTTGTTGCTGCAGCTGGATCCAACAATTCTATTAAAATATATTCAAGAAATCGTCTTACAAATGTAGCTCACCTAAAAGGTAAGTCTCAACTTTATCAAAATAAGATCACCAGTACTTTGGGTTGAAATAGATTGATTTGAACTTGATTGGTAGTGCTAGGATTTAAATGTGTTGTGTTTGTGAGGGGGTGTGACAGTCGTGCTGTTTTTTTTTGCTTTTTTTGTGTTTTTGGGAGGGGGTTGATAACATTGGCATTTAGATTGCGGGCTTTGTGAGTCAATCTCATTAATATTCTTTGCATTAAAAGTAAGAAGAATATACATTACTAGCTTAAACTAGCATTAATAGCATTACTAGCTTAAACTAGCATTACTAGCTTAAACTAGCATTACTAGCATTACTAGCTTAAACTAGCATTACTAGCTTAAACTAGCATTACTAGCTTAAACTAGCATTAATAGCATTACTACATGTAGCTTAAACTAGCATTACTAGCATTTTTTAATTTATCCTTAAAAAGTGGATTAATATCAAATAGTAACAAACCAAATTTTACCATGGTAACATGTGCATGATTGAATTGGTAAGCTTAGATGGGATTATTAGAATCTCAGTCCCTAGTAGTTCAAGTGGTGCGTCAATAACGCCATGCAAATTACATTTATTTGTCACACAATAACACTCCGAAAATAGAACACTCGCATTTGTTTGCATCATAGCGTCAGTGAACAAAGCGTTCTCATAAACCCAGAATTCTTGCTTAGATATACGTGTATTGTATTTGACAACTTGCGAATCGGCATCTGCTTTCCTTTTTACTCATTTTTAGTCCCTGCTTCCATGTGTCCATGCGTTTCTCGGCTGTTTACAGATGGATTTTTTTCTTCTTACAATCGGGAACCGGATCTCGGCTGCTTATTGATGGATTTTGTTCAAACTTGGTACATACATTAGATATTATTGGTCCTCGATGCAGATCACTTTGTTTTTCAGGTCAAATTCAAAATGGCTGACTGGTTGCCATTTTGTTTTAATGAATGTGGTTCTAGAGTCATATCTCCAACATGATTTGGCTGATTATGTTCATATTTTATATATTTATATATATGCCTTATACATCATGTCATAGATATACAGATATATTGGTTTGATGATCTGATTCAAAATGGCCGACTGGTGGCCATTTCGTTTGAATTAATGCTGTTCCAGAGCAATATCTCTCAATGTAGACAAGTACTCGTACTATATATTACTATAAAAAAACATATAACTTTGATTTGATGACTTGTGGGGATTGAGCCATACATGGCTTGTTTTGTTATTGTTGGTCAAATTAGGGTATAGAAATCAATTTTGTTCATTTATTGACTGACTCACTTATAATACTATGAGAAAGTTGCTAAATTTTATTTTTCATTTGCATTTCAACGTATGATGGATGCAACTTCTATTCCATCTTCTCTTCTATAGTAGTTAGATGTGGAATAACTGAAGATATTCACAGCAGATATTCCGGTACATCGTTTAAACAGCAGTAAAAATGTACGGCAATCGTTGTTACCGGTACATACTTGTTAATTTGGTCAATCATGTTATCAACATTTGTATTTTGTTTGACAGAAAAGTTGTCTGGGTAATTATTTCTATAGTCTATGCCGAATTAGTATTTCATAAAAAAATAAATATGAATCATCAGGATTGTTTATGACAACCATAAGTACCCATGACAACGAAAAGAATCCATCTTTAATTATTTATGATTTTTTCACAATGTACAAAGTAAACTTTTTGAAATGTATGTATGAAAAAATAATTGTTCAAAAGTTGCTCAAAAATCTGTTTTGATCTATTTTTGTGCAAGAGATAACATTTTTTCATCTGCTTTTTGTGAAGCATCAAATAAAACCATACAATTTGTGGAAATTCAAGAAATCGTTTTCAAATGTAGACAAAACTACCCAAATGAAGCTGTCAATGGCGACCTTCCACAATTGATACAAATTGCTGAAGACAGCTGTTCGCACACAATTACGTCATTTTTACAAATGTTGTTGTTCAGTTCGTTTACCATTTGACAGCAGACAACTTCTGACAATTCTGAATGCTGTAGACATTTAGAGTAAATTCAACCCGTTGTCTGACATTTGACTATTTATATTCAACCTGTAATTTGAATTATGTAAATTTGGAGACTTTCGAAATTGTGTATCAGTAATATGTTCACTAGGGACTACTGAAGTTTGTCAAACATTAACTGTTCTCATAAACGACATTGAATGTCTCGCGATGTCAGCATTTTTTTGCCGCAGAAATTTAACGTTTTCCAATGCATGCCATGTACATGTAGTAACTCCACATTTATATTCAAATGCGTACTATGACCTTTGACCACCAGTAAGTACAATTATGTAGGTGCATTTTATTATGAATTTGCTTTGTATTTAAAAACAATAAATTTGTGATACTACGATATATATATGTGTTCGTTAAAAAAAAAAAATGACAAGTTTTCACAGAACCTACCACTACTTTAATACCAATATTGAGCAAATCAGAAACAATGAATATGCAGTACTGTATTTTCTTTATTATAAATGCATCTATAGAACACACATATTAGAACATAAAAATCATGTTGTATTTTGGATCATTAAAATATGATCGAGTTTGACATATAACCTTCGTCGCTTATTAAAATGAATGTGCTACTAATAGAGCAAATACAGTAGACGAAAGTCTATATACAAACTTGAGATATTGACAAATGGCAAGTGGGGGATAATAAAAATTTGTTGTGAGCAACGATATAGAGAACTGTATGTGCGAGTTGACCCCACCCTATGAGTGTTCTAATGACTCAGTCACTGTAATCCCCACAAAAGATATAATTAGCTTTTAAAGTGGGGGAGTCGTCACCTGTGAATGCTTCAAATGGCCATAGCCGGTCATTGTTTACAAACAAGCGTCTACCCATGAGCCTTTGCGTTTTTAGCATGTATTATTATAGTCGTTTGGGACTCGATTCCCGCTTTGCACAGGTGATGACCCTCTCACTTTAACTTTACATTTTTTTTCCATAATAGTAAGTTATTCACGAATGAATTTTCTTGCAAATCTGCGAAGTTCTTTTTAATTAATTTTTCAAATTATAATGTCATCAGACTGCTGTTACCATATTACATGAAGTATGAGAATTTGCTTTGAGGTAATCTTCAGATCTGATTAGTTTTTGGTTTAAAATCAGACTGAAATAAATACCTAGTTTGCATATTAATTACTTAATTTTTAGATGATTTTGGTGATTATGCATAATAATTAGATTATTTAATATGTTTCTGTTTGATGAAAGTGTTAATTATTTCAAGAAAAACAGCAGAGCTATTCATGTTACTGATTGTTCGTAATCCTTCAGCGTCAACATTGACTTCTTGAAAACTACCAGCTCAATTGCTTTGGGTGGACCTCTCTCAGATTTGTTCCCTTGTTATGATATCTTCAAATCTCTAATTTTAGTGAATATTTTTGATAAAAATAGTTATTTTTTGACTTCTTGAAAACAACTAGCCCAATTGCTTTGATATTTTATACCGTTGTTCATTTTAGTTACAATACCTTCCATTCTCTAATTTTAATAATTATTTTTGTCTTTTTGGGTAAAAAAATGCTAATTTTGACTGTCTTACTGCAATACTGTATGTACAGTGGGCTGCTTGTCTAAATTTATTTTTTGTAATTTATTAAATACATGTATGTATATATATTACAATGTTGTTATTTAAGCTGAAATCGGACAATTTTGATTACTTCCTTGAATTTCTATTAATGATGACACAAAACACTGCGCAGTGAATGCATTCATGCGAGAACAATACAGTGTGACTGGAAAGACGAAATGGTGAAATTGAGTGAAACTAATTCAAAGAACTGACAGTATTTCTGAGTCTGACATGTGTTACGTAAAGCATTGTCAGTTATCGCTATGACGTTACTGACAGGCGTTTGCTCTGTGCCATGATTTAATTATAGATTTAATAGAACTCCATTAAAGAATCTAATACCATCAGTAAGGTGTAACTAGAGAAAGATGATAAAGAAAATGCGCATGCATGCATTAATATCTGAGATGATCGATGTACAAAGAACTCCTGTATGTCAGCGGTAAATCAGCTCTATTGAAGCGCATGACAGAAACATTGAAAATACTGAAAACTAATTACAAATTCACACGAGAATTTAAAATTTATTGGAATTCTACATAGCATATAAAGTACCGGTATCATTCAAAATTGTTTTGACGAAGTTTAATCAGCTCAGGTGAGTTAAATTTGTGATCAAATATGCAAATGATCTTGTTATCGATCAGATGATACTGTTTATGAAAGCCAAGAAACGGAAGATTCTATGTTTTGTGTTTTACCACTGATCTCGAGTACATTTAAAACTAAGTGAATATGCCTAAAATATCAAAATAGTGAAATAAATAGCAAAAATTAAACGTCATTCTACAGTATTATTACATGGTTCAGAGATTTTTATAGAAGTCATGTGATTTTTATTTTTTGTTGAACTTTGATCTTCATTGATTTTTAGTCTTTCTGCCATTCCAGAACCTGAACTTGGGTATACATTAAACATACTTCATTCAAAACTTCTATGTTCATAGAACATACAAGTATTGGCTCTTTGTTGCTCATCATTTTTTCCCAGGTTGTATTCAAAATGGTTCCTTTCCCATATGTTCCACTTTTGTCTGGCATTTGTCTCATAAGAGATCACTTTGAAAAAGTACCAACAGGGGCTATGTCATTTTCAATGACGTGTAATTTAGTCCATGTCGAAACAGGGACTTATGTTTTGGGTTTCTGTCTGTGCATCAGTACATGCAAATGTTAATCTAACCTACATGTACATCATTTTGTACATCAAGTTTGTTCAAAGTTGGCATTAAGGAAGAGACATATTCACAGTGTGTTGTGTGTAAATGTTTTACACCTTTGATCAACTGCTGACCATTTTAATTTTCAAAAAAACCACCAAAGATTTGCTTTTGAACATGTCAGCATTTCTTGGGCATGCAGTTGAGGAAATGCACTGCATTAAATTGAATTGTTCACCACACAATTCTTAATTTCAAAAACTGGCAAGGTTTTAATAGTTTCACTATGTTCAGTGTTTTTGTACGAGGTGACAGTTGCGGACACTCATGTCTCCCCCGATTTTGTTTTCATGTATAACTACTGATGGCACATATAATGTATAAATAACAATGCGAACAAAAAATCTACAAGTCTGAAATTACTCGGCACATACTTGTTCAGTAACCTGTTTCAACATATCGCTCATTGATATTTTGTTAACACTGTAAGTAACACTGATGGATGATTCTCCCCTATCACAAATTCTCTACGGACTTCAAGCTTTCAGACAGTGACACAAATAATCATTAAGTATGCTTTCTACATGTGGCATTTTTGTTTAATGAGCAGCACATTGATTGCCTTATACTCAGAAACTAATGCATCTTAGCGATAAACCTCGTCTAATGGTTGTTTTTAAATAGTTGGGTTATCGGTGTTGTCGCTGACAAGAATTCTGATTGCTCTTTCATGTCCATTCTGTTAATCTTATGCTATTGACTTAATGACAATATGGTTATTGATTTCAGTTTCCACTATTGCGATGGATTTATTTGCTATGATGACCGAAAAAATACATGTATCATGTTGCATTTGGATTAACTTAAGCAGTACGTACGTGTGGTGAAAGTCTTGGCAAACAAAGAAAAAAAAACATTACTACAATGTAGAAAGTAGAATTTTAGCCACTAAAAAACTCTGTTTAATATGTTTCTCTTATGGGATTATTTGACCAGAAATAACACCATCTATTCGTCATCAGTCGCCTGTAAATGTAAATGTCGCCTCTTAATTGTCTTGAACATACCTAATTAACACCCAAAAGTGTTTGCCGTGCCCCGTGTGAATGCATGTCAACTTGCTCTGAGGAAGTCATGTCATGTGACTTTTAACAGTAATTTTCAATGCTTTTCAACTTCCTTGTATACTGGTTTCCTACTGTGTATGTAGTGTACGTCTTCCGGTTTATGTACTCTGCCTCCTAATGCAGGGGAATGTGACCCGGCCATAACCAAGAGCTATCGTTCTTTGTTTGGTATGTGATTGTTAGATGGTATGTAATTGTTAGATGGAATTAATTTTGACATAGGTGCAATTAGCTGTATTAAATAAATTTAGACCAAAGTTAGTAATTAAGCTGCAAGAACTATAACAAAATCATTCAACTATGACCTGAAAAATACTCCCAATACATTCTCTTACGATAGAACTGAATGCGAACCATTACATACATGTGGGGATTTTAGGGACACCCCTTTGTTACCTTATACCAATCCTCTTTACTAACCATAATGCAGTGTGATAATGACATCATACATGTAATGTCCTATGCAACCATGAATCCTTTGTTTACCCTGTTCTTGTTTTTGATATTAGCCTGCTGCCCTGCAGGGCTGTCAGATTCTTACGCAAGGTATATTTAACTAATGATTAATGATACTGATGCGAGTAAATATACCAGACATGATTCTGATCAGTCTCGATTGTTATCAGATGCAGCATGTCCTGATGGTATACAACAACAAGAGAATCATTCTCAATGCCATTATTTATATGTGTAAATATTATTTTGACACTTCTCGTAAAATTTTGTGAAGCTTAATTCTCAGATGCATCTGTAACTCCTGTGTGTTATTCAACACGTGTATTTCAGCCAGTAATTTTTCTAATATTCAATAAACATACCATATTAATTACTGTGAATTATATTCAGAGCAAGTTAAATTTTTTTTAATCTAGTCTGAGAGATTTTTACATGTACCTAGAAAGCAAATTTGCACTTTTGAATATTAAAAAATTGAAAAAAAATACAAATTTTCACGAGGTAAACCTGAAAGTACGAAATCATATTTCTGAAAAACAAGAGTAGACCACAATATTGTAGCTTTGCACATATATATACATGTACTTGTCAATGTTGCACTCAAAAAATAACAAATAACATTCAAACCTATTTATTTCAAAAATATTGGTGAATAAAAAACTTTGCAGTGGCATGCGTGCATTCCTGGATCTTCCTAAGTTCTCGTAGCTGCATATGTTGATCGAGTGCCCATGAGTGCACTCTGTCATAAAGTACTGTGCATAGAACTGCAGTGTTTATTCTGTCTTCGTAAGAGTACGCGCTATGTAATACATTCTGTCAGAATAAAGGGGTCTTGAGTTCTCCTAGATAGACAGCATTCTTACGGTCGAAAATTAACACCATTAGCGTTCTACTCAGACACACAAGTTTGATACTCGTGAAGCGTTGGATATTTCATGCGACTCATTATAAGGGGACAAACAATATAATTGATGAAATGGCACTTTATATTGTATGTATACTTGATTCAATTTCAGACAAAAAAATTGGTGATGACATTTATTCAGTAGGCAGTATGGTTTCTTCTATGTACTTTGTTAGCATTCAAATCATGCGTTAGATTTATTTAAACAGCCAATGTAACCTCTTAGCTAACTTGCTGCGTCTCAGACGCATAGAGATTTTTCATGACACAACTAATTCTGATAATTCCATGGCATATTGACGCATCAGCAAATCAGTGTAGAAAAACAGTCACCATAGCGATTTAGTTTGTGATTCCAGTAGTTCCCAACAGCTACATGCACAATCTCTGAATCCAAAAATTAACATACTTTACTGCCATTCCAACACATTTCAATGCACTGTCAGTGCAGCTAAAGTATGGATGGATATCTCCAACAACATGAATGCTTGTAACTTTTAAGAAGAGACTTACATACTTCATGTTAACAAACAAACTGACACCAAGTACATGTATAATGTGTATGTGCAGTTACCTAGCAACCAGCAACTGCATTTCCTATGGATCATTGTCTTCATAAAATTCAACTGTACATCTCCCACATATTGTGCAATGCATACTACTGTGAGATGTGATAAAAAAAGGAGAAAAAACTTTGAATGTTTTGCCTGCAGGTTTCTTTCTCATTCATATGTGGATTATCAGACAGATTACGCTTTAAAGTTGATGGAACCTGCATTCTCTTCATCCTATTTGTCATTTTATACACTTACGATTGTCGATGTGCCTGTCGGGTATAATAACTGTCGCTGTTTGTATATATTCACGATATTGATATTCTTTATGGGGGGGCTTTATCGTGAATAATGAATAAGTCTTGTACCATGGAAAGTTCAATATACTGCCCTGAACGTAGGCTAGTGTACTGATTTCAAGTAAAAATTTATCCACGTACCTTAGGCTCTTTGAGAAAATATCAGTATATGTATAACTATGTGTAGCATTTTCACACTATTCTGTGAATCAAAGTATTCTGTATTAAAGTATTGTTTACTGATTGCAGTGGTACATGTATTTCCCACCATTTTACACAATAATGGCAGCCATTTTAAATACAAAATCTGTGAAATCTAAACACATTGTTCATTCAATGTTACTTTCCTTGCAACTGATTCCTATATTTAAATAACCGTCAATCTATTTTTGTATTCTTCCCTATTAGGACATTCTGAGACCCTCACAGGTATTCGGTTTGGTCACAGGAACCCAAACTTGGTCTACACCTCATCCCGAGATGGTACAGTCAGGTAAGCTCAGCGTCTAATGAGAATATCATTTTTTTTTCACAGGAGATAATTAAGATTTAAGTAGATAAAATTAATGTAATGACGTGAATAATTGGGTGTTATAAAGGTATAATTGTAATTTTACTACTTTACCGGTATTAAAAACTTTGTAATTTCTTCTGATATCAATATTTATAATAGCATTATGATAAATCAATTTTTGTGTTAGCCGCTGTAACTTAATCGCTGTCTTTGTAACCTTAGTTAAAAAGTTGACTGCATTGTTAAGCCCTAAAAAAGAAAAGTTTCACACTAGAATAAAGCTGTTTACAAGAAAATGTTCATTCATGGTCACCTATTCCTATGATTGCAATGTAGTGAAGGAAAATAATCACACATTTATTGTTGAAAGAGACAGTGATATAAAAAATTTAATTTTCGCAAATCTGATAGGACCATGTGCATTTAGAGTGTTTTATACCCTAGAGGTTAAGTTAAGAATGTAAACAACCGTGAATGTTTCCATGTGGTGAGTCATTTCCAGTCATTCAGCTATCATCTACTTTAATACATGTATTAGGCTATTCCAGATATTTTATCGATGCACTTTAATAAAAAAATCTGACTCAATTCCTGCCTGTGATTGTGATCCTAAAATCGTATGCTGATGAATAAAATTAAGACATCTTGTTTTATTACAAGTATCTTGTGAAGCATATTATTATACGTCTTAGAAATGTAATGTAGCATATAGCTGAGCCCGATCATGTAAAAAAAAACCTAGTTTTTAGCTCTGCTGTCGACTTTGTCGAGCGGAGCTTATCATATGAGTGATTGTCCGTTGGCGTTGTCGTCCGTCGTCCGTGTTTTACTTTTTTGACTTCTTCTTGAAAACTACATGCCTGAATGCTTTGATACTTGGTGTATATGTACCTTGGGTAGACTTCTCTCAGATTTGTTCATTTCATGATGATATCTTCAATTCTCTAATTTTGGTGAATATTTTTGTCATTTTTGGTAAAAAGTGATATTTTCGACTTCTTGTTAAAAACCTCAAGTCCAATTGCTTTGATATTACATATATAGGTACTACATGTGGTTCTAACTCAGATTTGTTTCATGATGATATCTTTAATTCTCTAATTTTGATGAATATTTTTATAATTTTTGTATGCATTACTATAGTTACACGGTAAGTAACCTAATTAATTCTTAATTAGAAAATAATGATTAATTCACTTCCCCTGTCGCTACCTTAATAAATATATAGTTTAATTGCTTGACAAAATACTAATCAGTTGCCATGGATCTGTATAATTCAGCTTACTGAAAATCCTGAAAATATAAATGAATATGTTGCATATATATATATATTTATGCTATAATTTCAACATTTTGCAATAAACATTTCTCCTTTCAACCAAATCTGAATGAAGCCATGATACTTACCAAAGCACTGGGAAAGGGAAAGCACAAAATTATGTCGCTAATGAACATATCATTTTGTATTCTTAAGGCAGTGAATCGGTGAGTTTTACTGGGGTATTAGGGAGTCACAGTTGCTTTTACTGGGGTATTAGGGAGTCACAGTGACTTTTACTGGGGTATTAGGGAGTCACAGTGACTTTTACTGGGGTATTAGGGAGTCAGTGACTTTCTCTTGGGTGTTCGGAAGTCACAGCAATTCTCCTTATATTTTCCCCTCATAAATGCAAAAATTGCTGAAATTGTGTTTTCTCTGACATTATTTGACTTAAAATTGTATATATTCATTCTACATCATGTTATAGATATACAGATGTATTCAATAAGGATGACTAGTGGCTATTTTGTTTTAATTAATTCTGTTCCACAGCAATATATCTCTCAATATGGACAAGTACTCCTTTGACGATCAGATACAAGATGACTGAATGTCAATCATTTCAGTGTTAACAAATCACCATAATCAAGCATCAGCTTCTGGATCCATATTTCTGACATGTTTATGTTTGAATTATCTTACTAATAAACAAAATTAAATCTTTAAGTTTGATAACTAACAGGAACTGTGTCATGCATGGCTTGTCAATATTTTTATCAAAGTAGACCATAAAAACATTTTACCAGACAATTGGACAAGCCCACTCGTGAATTACTGGTGCCAGCATACTAGCAAATATTATTTTCAAACACTGCTATAATGAAATCAGCTGTCTAAAATTTATCTCGCATTTGTATAGCCATATATCATATATCTACCCATTTCATCAAGCATTCTATCAGTGTTCCAGTAACTTTAACACTCTCCAGCTTACAATGAAGATAGTTTTTACTTAAATTCATACATTAAATTTCTGCTGCCCTGGAGTCTTTTCAACCAGAAGCATTTAGTATTTTGTTAACAGAACAACCCAGTGCACTAAAATGTGCGGCATTTCCATTAACCATCGATTGCAATTGAAAAGATTCTGAAGCGTATATCTGTACATTTAATACATCAGGAATCGGAAACCATCAATTTTTTTAACTGTATGTTGTAAATTAAAGTCGGTGAACTTTATCTTTTTAGCGAATTCCAACATTAGGTTTGAATAAGTAGTGCATATGTCATTAAGTGTAGGTATTCAGTGTTACTTGCAGAACACACACTCCATTAATGTTTCCTCTCCTGGACAATCACTGTAGCGGTTTGTCGGTTTGCCGTAGTAACCAAGGTCATATACAGACTATATTAGCTGCCAGATTGATGACAATCTTAACGTTAAATGACAACCCTTTTTTTTTCTTAAAGGCATGAGAATTCTTTGTAATACATGCTTTATTTATAATATCACTTAATAGGATTCATTATGGAAACACAATTCCCCCAATCAAATAATAAAGCCACCCCGTCTCACCTTAATTCTATGTTCAAGGTCTTTGTGGGTGGGACCGCCTTGATTGCTTTTTAACTAGACGCTGGTGACTTAAATATAGAGTACAGGGTTATTGTTGAACTCCTCCCCAGTGTCTGTTACGTATGTGAGCAGAATCAAAATGATTTTATTTGAGAACTTAATGCGTCTTGTGTCTATCCGGCATGTGCTGTTCGTGCCAATGACTTTTTTATCAACTAGGTGGGTGGGAGGTTGGTTGGTTGGGTTGTTTAGGTAGGTAGCTCGGTGTGTTTGTTTAGGTAGGTGGATGGGTGAGTAAGTAGGTGGTTAG